TGAGGGCCCTGAGGCCTGGGGCTCCCCTGAAATGTTGGCCCCCACCCTGAAGGCCCAGGTAGGTCCTTGGGGGCATTGAATCATTGGAAGACCCCAGGTGAGGCTGAGCACGGCGCGGGGCACCCCTGGGAAAGGACATTGTTGGGAATAGGGGAGGCCAGGCCTGGAAGGCTGAGGATGTGATCAGCCCCAACTCCGGACCCTGCACACCTGCCATCTGCCTCCAGCCCCAGGGAGGACAGCGATGGAAACAGTCTGGGGCAGTCCCCGAGGAGGAAGCTGAAGGTAGGGCCCAGGAGTGGGGGTCAGTGACTCCTGCCTGTACCCCCAGTGATGAGATGGAGCTCCCAGGGAACCAGTGTAGCCGGGGCCACTGTGTGGAGAGGTGGCCTTAGAATCCGGGAAGGATTACCGGGAGGCGGTTAAGGGAAGTGGGGCCTCAGGCCAAGGCTCCAGAGGAGGAAGTGAGACGCACAGCCAACCCCCTGCCCCCTGAGATGTCGGGAGGGCCGCTGTCATCGAAGATGAACACTCCTGTGCTAGCGTCTGGCTCACTCGGGCGGGCTGGCTGCTGGTGCAGGTGCTGCTTGCTGGGGGAGGACCCAGATGTGCCAGGGGCAGGCTGAGAGCTCTCTGGTCTCCTTGGAGAGCTGGGCTCTTGCCAGTTGGGGGAAGAGTCACACAAGCGCAGATTTGGGGGCCCCACAGGAGCTGGAGAGATGCTCTTAGCCCTGGAGGAGTGAGGGTTCCCCAGAACAGCTGAGGTGCGGCTCACTGCCATCATTCAAGATGTCTCTGCTTGCTGGCTGGTGCACTTGGCTCACAGACTCCCAAGTTCACAGGGCAGGGGGCGGGGGCACAGATCACAGGAGGGCTTGGACTCTGGGTCATCAGGGTCCTGGGGTCCAGCCAGGAGCAAAATGTGGGACTCTGGCCCCAGGCCTGTCCACTGAGCCTTCCCTGCCTGAGAGGCAGCGCCACAGCCTGAGAGCGCACAGGAAAGAGACAGTGAGCCTGGGATCCAATCTCTGCGTGTCCACTGACTACACGTGTGACCCATGGCATCACTTAACCTCTCTACGCCTCTGCTTGCTCACCTCTGTCCCAGGGGACTGCCGCCGGGTAGCTGGGAGGATTAACATTCCTTCAAAATGCAGTTTCTGGCAAATAGAAGGTGTCCCATAAATTGTGACTGATTATATATTATTACACTCTTACGACAAACCAGCCTGGACAGTGCTTCTACCTTGCTTTAGCCTGAGGTTTTTATTCTCTGCTTCCCCAAATTCCAGGATAGGAAGAGCTGAGGGTTCTCTTGCCCAGCTGTACCTTCAGCACCAGGGTGGGGAGGGTGCCCCCTGAAGGTGGAAGAGTGAGTGTCGCCTAGAAGTGTGAGGTCAGCAGAGGCTGTGAAAGTACCATTGACCCTTAACAATGTGGGAGGGTTAGGGGCTCGGACCACACCCACAATAAAATATCCGCTTGTAATTTAAGTCAGTCCTCCACATGTTGTGGATTCCCGCCCGAAGATTGAAAACACAGTTGACCCTCGAACACCACAGGTTCAAACTGTGGGGGAACCACTTAAACACAAGATTTTAAAAAATCCTTGTCTAAGAGAATGCGTGAGGTTCAGATCCAGTTTTCAAGGGTCTTTCTCAGTCTCCTCACTTATCAGCTGAGTAATCTTGGCAAATCGCCTCATGATGTTGAGCCTTGGTGTTCCCATCTGTATAATGGATTTACATAATGAGACTTACATCATAGGCTGCTGGGCAGACTAAATGGGCTAATGCATTTAAAGCACTTAGCATAGTGCCTGGCCCAGGCAAGCACTCACTGACTGGAAGCTATTAAGACATATTCTATTCACAAGGCTGGAATAAGGAGAGAATGAACGGGAAGGTAAGTTTATAAACTAGACTCCACAACATATTGGTTACTATTGTTTTATCAGGGCTATGTGTTTGAGTGCACACACCCATATATTTGCCTGCTGACATGCATATGCCTAGCATCCTGGGGTTTTCTGACATGCACAGATTATGTTCATGCTTATATAGATGTGTGGATGTGTATTAGTGTGTGCATGTGTGTATGTATTGACCTAACAGGTACCCCCTCCTCTGCCTGAGGCTTTAGGGGATCCTAGGCCAGAATACCTTTAATTGTGTGCCTTCCAGGCTTTGTGGAACCCTTGCTTGATTTTTACAAAATATAGTTTTATTGATTTCAGAGAGGAAGAGAGAGAGAAACATCAGTGATGAGATAGAATCATTGATTCGGCTGCCTCCTATACACCCCCCAACTGGGGCTGGAGCCCGAGACCCGGGCTTGTGCCCTGACCAGTACTCACCGTGACTTCCTGCTTCATAGGTTGATGCTCAACCACTGAGCCATGCTGGCCGGGCCTTGCTTTATTTTTTTTTATCTGCTTCCAAGACCATACCATTCTTCAAGATAACTGATTTGCTGTGGAGAGAAGATAAATCTGTGAGTGTTAAAGAAATGGAAGTTATCAACTGAGACCAGATAGGTTTGTCCAAATATAGAGAAAAACAGAACAAGATTGGTATTAAGTGAACATAAAATGGAAAGTACTGGAGAGAGAAAACATATGTAAGACAGGGCTGCTAAAGTTATGTCCCAAAGATCTGAAGGACTGATGTAACAAAGTCAGAAATGATGTACCTGTAAGGTTAGCACTAGCCGCCCTCTCAAACAGTGTTCCCCGGGGGGAGAGCGTTAACCTTGCAAGGGCAGAGGGTGATAAAGTGACACACTCCCAGCAACTTCACACTCACAAAGGGCCTTGGGTGCGCTGTCTCCTGATTCTCTTGAAGTCTGTGCCTTCCAACCCTTCCCTCACACTCCCTGCCTCCATCACAGGAAACAGCACCTCACCTTTCTAGCAATGAACGAGACATACCAGCAAGAAGAAATAACATTGACCAGACCCAGTGTTGTCAGGGATGTGGAGGAAGGGCTCACTTACAGATTTCTAGTAATGTGCATCTGCTTCTTTATGTAAAGAACAATTTGGAAAAATCAAAGTCAAAATACTTCAAGGGGCCTGGGCAGTGTGGTTGAGTGTTGACCTATGAACCAGGAGGTCACAGTTTGATTTCTGTCAGGGCACATGCCCGGGCTGCGGGCTCGATCCCCAATAGGGGGCGTGTAGGAGGCAGCAGATCAAATGATTCTCAGCATTGATCTTTTTATCTCTCTCCCTCTCCCTTCCTCTCTGAAATCAATTTTAAAAAAATATATATCCCTAGCTGCTTTGGCTCAGTGGATAGAGCATCAGCCTGCAGACTGAAGGATCCCAGGTTTAATTCCAGTCAAGGGCACATGCCTGGGTTGCGGGCTCAATCCCCAGTAGGGGGCGTGCAGGAGGCAGCTGATCAATGATTCTCTCTCATTGATGTTTCTCTCTCTCTCTCTCTCCCCCTTCCTCTCTGATATATATATATATATATATATATATATATATATATATATATATCCCAAAATACTTCAAGGGAATAATCCAAAAGGAAACCAAATTTGCAGAAAGGCAGTCCCAGCAGCACTGTACCTAATAGTGAAAGATTTGAAACCACATGGACGCCCGACCTGAGAGGCCTGGAGCGCTCACTCTACCAGAAGGAAAGTCAAGGGGAGTTGGGAAGGCAGGTCATCAATGCTCTGTGCCCACTGGCTGTACCGGTGGACAAACATGCAGCTGCATGGACAGACCTTGCGGGAATTGGGAGGGATATGAACAGGTTACTATCCATGAGGTGCTTTGTAACTGGTTGTAAATGGTGAAAGATTCATCTTGGTAGGGCATCTTCCAAAGGGGAGGAGGGACATGTTTCACGCAAGGACGGTCAGGATAAAGTATTTCAAGTGGATTCCTTTGGAAGGACCCCACCATACAGGTGGGAAGCTGGGGTGCTTGTGTTGGGAACATGATCACATTGAGTTTTCCTCACACTTGGCGTGTGTGTGTGTGTGTGTGTACAGACACCAGAAGGCTGTCACCCTTAGAGCAGGGTGAGCTGGGCCCAGGAAGTCCTCAGTGAGAAGAAGAATTATTTGCTTAATGATTCCTGCTCTGTCCGCCCCATAGGGTTTCCGGATACCCAACGAGCCCAGGGTAGAAAGGACCACGGGCACAGACCCGGAAGTATACATGAGGGGCTGAATTCTTCTTCCCCTCGGATTAGGCTCCAACTTACCCACCTTTCTGAGCGTTGCCTCCCTGTGCACCCACCACCGAAGGGCACCCCCAGTATGCAGGTCCACTCTCCCCTCCACTGCTCGCACCTCAGCATCCTCCATGCTCAGGGGAGCTAGGCTGGGGCGGGCAGAGGTGGAACGGGTGGTGGTGTGGACACGCCTTGGGTGCCTGGTTGGAGTTTTCATCTTCCTCCAGTTCATCTGGCCACCCAGGCACTGGTCTAGGAGCTGGGTGCGTGCCTGCCCCTCCATGACCCCATAGCCCAGCGGGGAAGGGGGCAGAGAAGGGAAGGATTTTCTTCAGTTCCCTGTGCCCGCACCAGGGAGAGGCCAGCTGCAGACCAGGAGGGCCAGCCACCTGTCTAGCTGGGCAGGGCTCACAGCTCGGACCCCAGAGGCGAAGGTGGAGTTGGAGGAGCTCAATGCTCTCCTTCTAAAGGCTAAGCTGACCCTGTGGCTCCGCAGAAAATGGGCCCAAGGTTCCAAGATCCTCATGTCAAAAGTCTAAAATGCCTGTTTTTGTGAGAAACAGATTCAAAAACAAAACAAAACACGTGCTGAGTCAATACTGTGCAGGCCAAGCTCACATCGAATGATGAATATGGCCCATGGACCTCCACCTAAGACTTCATCTGGGGTGTGAGGGAGTGGGAGCTGGAGCAGCTGGCTGGGTTGGCTCAGCCGCTCTAGAGCAGAAACTGGATACTCCCTCTCCCCTGCCTCCCCCTGCCTCTC